ACTACTCTAGAATTCAAATGGAGCCGTGCAGAAAGAACTCATAGAAAATATCTTAATTATGGTCCCAAACAGGACGAGTTTGGTGTTCACGATTGAATCCAGGGCCTCCTACATACTAAGTGCACTTTCTATCACTGAGCCACAACCCCAGTGCCAAGAGGACTGTTTTGGGGTTTTTTGGTTTATTTTTTTTTTCCTGCATCTTTTTTTAAATTTATGTATGACAGCAGAATTCATAAGAGGACTGTTTTTAATCAGTAAAATTCCAAGACAACGTACTAGAACTCACTGTCCTCCAAGTCTCCATAGACTTGCTGCTATATTTTCTCCAGCTGCTGATTTAAAAAGTAATTCTGAGCAGGATACATAATCTAGTCACTTCCTGGGGCAAGAGGTACTATCTCTCCACCCCACAACCCCAGCCTCCTCTGAGTGCTTTTAAGATAGATGAATTCAAATTAGAGGCCACCTTAGGGACAGCCTGATAGGGGCAATAAGTCACCAAAGAAGAGTGTGGCACCTGCAGAGAGGCCCCTTTGCTTTGTGGGTGGGGGAAGTTTGCAGAGGGCCTAGCCAGAGAGGTAGTGGTGGCATGTATTAAGCTGCATCACAACCCTTGTTCCCCTGCTTCCCAGAGTCTCACAGGACATTTTTCCCCCTAAATCTTACAGCCACTTCTGATTTACTTTTGTAAATGGAGGAGCAGTAATACTGATCAGACCTTCTTATCTTATTTTTGCCATTTTTTAAAATAGTTGTTGGTTGGAGATGTAGCTCAGTAGTACTGTGTTTGCATATGCAAGGCTCTGAATTCTACCCCCAGCACAGGAAATAAGGAAAAGTCTTATTGAGATATAATTCACATACCATGCAATTCATCCATTTAATTATATACTTCAATATTTTTAGTATTCACAAGGTATATTTTAGTATACTCACAACTATTACTACCATATAATTCTAGAACATTTTTACCTCCCATAAAAATTAGTAAAATCCACTTATAGGCAATTCCTTTTACTCTCACCTGCTCTCCAGCCATATGCAATCCACTTTCTGTTTCCATGGATCTGCATATTCTGGGCATTTCACATGTATGGAATCATAAAATATACTATCTTCAGTGACTAGCTTATTTTACCTAGCATATTTTCTTTTTTTTTTTTTTTAGAGAGAGAGAGAGAATTTTTTTTTAATATTTATTTTTTAGTTTTCGGCGGACACAACATCTTTGTATGTGGGTGGTGCTGAGGATCCAACCCGGGCCGCGCGCATGCCAGGCAAGTGCGCTACCGCTTGAGCCACATCCCCAGCCCAACCTAGCATATTTTCAAAGTTCATCCATGTTTCAGCATGTATCAGTTCTTTGTTTTTCTTGCCTAAGGGTATTCCATTGTCCATTCATCTGTTGACGGACATATGGGCAGTTTTCACTTTGGGACTGTTGGGAATATTGCTGCCCTTGGATACACGTGTACTGTTTTTCAGCTCTCTGATGTGGCTTCAGTCTGGTAAGACGAACAGCCTCCCCATGGCTAAGATGCAACTGAAATCTGAGTACTCATGTTCTGTGAAATATCAAGAGCACCCTGAAACTTTTCTCCATAATGGCCTAACAAGAAAGATGACACCAAAATATTAATTTTAAATGTATAATTTAACTTAGCCATGGCTCCTAAAAGTACACTATGGTTGGAGAAAGGAAAGAGAAAAATGCAAGGAAACTCTTTTCATGAAATCCCACCTGCTTGTTGAGTCCCTGCACAGGTGCTTATATACAAGCAGGTGCACAATATGTGTGCTCTCTTCCTCCCTCCCTTCCTGTTGGTCCAGCTGTCCTAGCTTTCTGCTTCAGAATCAAAGTTGATGGGCAAGACCAACGACCAAACAGAGGAAGCCAAGCCCAGAGCCAGGTTCAGGGCCAGGACACAGCTACTGCTGTTGGATTGAAAATACTGGAAGCCTTCCTTGGGCCATTTGGAGATGTTAATTAGGCTGGCTAATTCCCACTGGTCTTGGGTTGCCAGTGTTGAGTTGCGTGTGTAGGCTTACCCCATCCACTGGCTGCACCTGTTCCCTTCCTCAGAGCCATTCCAGGGGCTCTGTCTGAATAACCCAGACAGCTCTCTGATCTCCCGCTCTGTCTGCCTTCCCGCTGGTAGGATATTTAGCACTTGCTGAAAGCTGGAACCCTAGTCCACTATTTCTCTCCTCATTCATGCCAGCTCTGAAAATTGTTCTCTTTCCTAATTATCTTTAGCCAGTTAATCATTTTCCACACTGACTGCTCAGTAACAAGGATCCGGGAGAAGCAGCCACTTTTCTTGTCTGACCCTGCCCAGTGTTATCCCAGGTGGCAGTTCTGGATGGCAGGCTTTCCTCAGAGATAAGAAGCTTGCTTCAAACCCTTCTCTTTTGCTATCCCAGTGAGTCCAGCTGGAGCAAACATGCCATGAAAAGACCCAATGATACTCTAAAAGCCTCTGCTAGGCTGAGCTGTCGAAAACACAACAAATCTCCAACCAGGCCTGTCCTGTCCTGTATTTTTTAAATTCTTGCTGATATCCAGAGCATCAAAGTCACTAGAGGCCAAAGAACACAGCTTTCTTTGAAACTGACTTCTAGTTATCCAGGCTCAAACTCTATGTCTAAGCCATTGATTGGCCACAACAGGGCCAATCTGAGTTAAGGGCTCTCCCCCAGAGTCTTACTCAACTGCTCCTACATATGAGTGGGACTGACTCCACGGATTTCTAAGAATAACCTCATATTCAAGATGTAAATTAACCCTATAATCCAAAGTCTCTCAATTTTTTTTCCTTTATGACCCACTACAGAGCCTTCTGATAAGTTTTTATCTCCAAATTTGTCCCCACTCCTAGAATACAACAGCAACACTGTATCTATTAAGGTGCTTACATTTGTGCTTTGTGTAGAGTAAGGTTTTTTTTTTACCCACAAGGGGTGCTGTTGCCCAGTTAGAATGATGTACCTTCTCCACCATCTTTGTCTACTTTGTTCACTGCTATATTCCTAAAACCTAGAATGATAGGTGACACATGCATGGTACCCAGTTGATGAAAGGATGAAATGATTTTGCTGTGTGTCTCTGTCCCATCTTCCCAGGCATCACATGCCTCCCAGTCTCTTCCTTACCAAGCTCAGTGCTATTAAGTCATGTGCAGGGTAGTTGATGCCATATACTGACTTCCAGGGATATACCAGGAATCTGACAGCTTACTCCCCTATGCTAGCGACTAGTACCTCACCTTGAAGAGTACTGCCTGCATGTCAAGCCCAGGTGACAGTTGAGCCCCATGGAATAATCAAGACAGCCCACAACTGCTTCTGTCTTTGCATCTCCTTAACTCAACCATGGATTGGCAGTTACTGAGACATTCTTTGTGGTCAGGCACACCACACCAGGCTGCGTCTGGGGACACTCAGGAGAGGAGCAAACCAGTCCTCATCAGCAATTACAAACAAGTCCTCCATTGTTAGCATGCCATCTGCTTTCTTGGTTTCCACCAATCAGGGATCCATATGCATGGCATAACCAGGGCCAAGGGGGCTGCAGGGGAGTTAGATCAAGGAGCCCCTTCATAAAGACAGCCTTTGCTCACATGGGAGAGAGTCAGTAGCATCGTGCTCTGAAAAGCTGAGCCTCCTTAGCTCAAGGAAGAGCCATGCAGAGATGCTCTGTGCTCTGCCATTCTCTGTGAGAGAAAATGGGAGTCCATGCACAGTAAACTGGAGGAAATGGGAAATCTAGATAATTACATTATCCAGAGGATAGTAGTCTGTTATGAACAATCAACACAAGCCCAGAACGTCTCATGCCCACATGTCAAGAAAGAGCAGCATTAAGGGTGATTGGAATCAAATGGGTAGAACAGAAAATGCTACTAGGTCATTCAGGATCAGACATTAATCTAAAAATTGATAATCGCATATAATTGACTTTTTGGAGGTGACTGTGAATATTCATAAATAGATTGGAAAATGTGTCTTTGTTGACATGCACATTTTCTTTAGAAAGACTCAGCTAAGACAATGTCAGTGGTCCTTCTTCCAGTGTTGCTCTGAACTCCCTTAGAACTGGCCCTAGTCACTGTGCTAACCTTTGCAGATGGGGCAGCAAAAAAAAAAAAAATCCCTGTTTTTCAACTGTGGCCATGCAGACAGTGGTCCATGTTACTGATAAATGTCCTTTGTCCAGATTCCATGGTGGTCTAGTGACACCAAATTCAGGAGACTTGTGAGGGATTGGGGTGAGAAGTTACTGTCTGATGCAGAAAGAAAGAGGGTATATTTGCTAGGGAAAGCCCACATTGGAATTGGGCTGGTATAGAATGAGTGGGTGATGGGGAATGTGTCACAGGTATGGAAAGGCTAAGATCCTCCCTCCTTTCATCATGGCTGCTGAGAACATGCTTCTCTTTGGGTGAGAGTGACCTTTGGTCCAGTTTCACTATTGCAGGGTCTCCTTCCAGAGCCTTCCTCTGCACAGCATGCTGCATGTTTACTCCCTGGGGACTGTCACTTTACAGGTGACATCAGGACTGAGTTAATACACTGTACAGCTCAGAAACCTGTAAAATGAAACTTGGAGTCATGGAAACTTGCACACCTGGGGAGTTTCAATTTTTTTTTTTCAGGGCATCCATTGAATTCAATGCTTGTCTTAAAAACTTGATCATATTTCAAACCCAATCAGTCAGGAAAGGTTGTGCATCAGGAAAAGGAAAGAGCTCCTACCAAGGTCTGCTTCATACATTGTAGGAGTTCTAATGTCTCTTTCATTTCCCACTTGTAAGTGCAATAACAGCTAGTATTTTGTCCCATCAAGTAGAGTTTTCATGTCTTAATGATCTGCAAGTCTTCGAGAATACTCAGGCAGCTCGGGAATATGTGTATTATTAGCACTGTGTTAATTATCAAGTTGGAACCATGGGGGTGCCATGCTTGTGTTCATTTGAATTTATGCTCTTTCCCTTCAGATTAAAATATATAAAGGTCTCATTACAATATTTGAGCAAGGTAAGACTGACACTTCAGTGGGTTTTCCCATTTACCCTGCTTTTGGGGGGGTGTAAATTTACTAACATGCTCCCCTCCATCCCTAACACTGCTGCATGCCCACTTGCTTTCCTGAGCCTTGGCTTTGGTGCCTCCTGCCATCCTCCCAAGGGACCCTGCCTGCTCTCCTGCCCCTGCATGTTTGTGCTGCCCGGGGAAGCCCAGCCTTGCCTGCCTTTCTTCTGCCTGTGCACTCTGGGTGGAATCTGACACCAACACCTGCCATCCTGGAAAATGTCTTTGTCACCCACCCTTTTTTTTTGGGGGGGGGGCTGCAGGAAACCAATGGGTGCAGGGGCCTCCCCCTTTTTTGTTGCCTGATCCTAGAGGAGCAGGATTTTGAGATGGGCAGATAAGATGTGTGGGTGGCCTTTGACTGCTTGCCTTAATGGAGGCCTCCAGGCAGGGAGGGCTGGTTGTGGAAGAGGCTGCTGAGTGGAACAGCTGTGGGAGGTGAAACAGACAAAAGCTGTTGGAGCACAGAGGGTAGAGAACCCCATCCACAGTCTAGGATCTAGAGGGCAAGTCTGCTGAAGCAGGTGTGACCTCTCAGCCTTTCTGTTCTGGGTCTGGGGTCCAGGCCCTTCTTAGGACATTCTAATGGACTGAACAGAAGCTGCTTGGCAGAGCCAGCTAAAAACCCTCTGTGGTGTGGCCTGGGCTGTAATGGCTCACAGGCAGAAGAGGAGCTGATAGTGACCATAGCAGTGCCACTCAAAGGAGAAAGCATATGAGTGAACTTCCCTTGATTAGCAACATCACCCATGTGGAATGCATGGCACAGAAGCCAGCCAATTTGTCTCAATACCTATGGAAGTGCAAAGTTAGAGCCTGGATTCTTTGGTTTATCCAAAATTCAAATCCCATCTACTAGGCAGGGCCTTTATACCTGCAGGCCAGATGTACAGCAGCACCACAGAGAGCTGACCTCCAGCCCAGCTGCCTTTTCTCTTCTTCTCAGTCATGGGTTTGGCCTACTTCCAATATTGTCCCAAATCAGGCTCACTTATGTCAGCTCCCAGAAGCATTAGGAGCCTCAGAGCCCAGGTATTAAGTAGGGAGGGGACATAGGAGGTCATACAATCTCCTCCCAACAGGGGGATTTGGTGCAAAGGTTTCTACTCTTGAGGCCCTTCATTTCCTTGGGTGTCCTTCCACGTCTGCCACAATAGAGGTAAGTGGGGTTCGAATGGTCTTTGTATAGGCCCCCAGCCTCCATCACCAGGAAGAGGCCAAGTCAGGGCAGCCTCTGCCAGCAGCTTGCAAGTAAAATTATCCTATCAGGAAAGAAGCCTTCTCTTTTGTGGCCTACCTGCTTATCTGCAGCTGCCACCTCCCCATCCATCAGGGAGTGCAGCTGGCACATAGGTGCCATGGCAGACTGAGGATGCACCATCAAAAAGTTGAGGACTGGAAGAATGCATGGGGCACAGTGGCACTGGGTCTGGCCCAACTCCAGATGTGGCTTTGCCCTCCCCCCTGGATGATAGGGTCTCTGCTATTAGATGCATGGGGCCCTTGCTGCGGAGCCTCATGCTGCTCACTCAGGCTCACTCAGTGGGACAGATGATTGGTATGTTGGTTACTCTGTTCATCTTCATAGCAGCAGGAATTCCAGGGACACCCTTCTTACTCTTCTCCTTTTCCCTGGATGGGGGAGTAGGAAGGAGGGGCTACAGTGTTTGCCTTCTAATCCAGAATTAGCCAAGATGCACTCCTTTGCTTAATGTCTTTGAACATCACTTTGTATCTTTCATTTATTTGGTTGGTTTTTCATTTTATTTTTGCCTTTTGCTTCCTTATCCCAACTGAATACAGCAGTAGGTGGGGTAGTATTTCAAGATGTTAGATTATCTAGGATTAAATCAGGTTTGTTTCCCTCTGCTTCCCCCTCACCCCTGAATTAAATGCTCCTGCCCACCATCAGCAACAAGAGGTAGAGAGATGCCTTTGTCAATACTGTCTCTGTCATGGATGAATGTCTAGCTGTGCTGATTTTGTCCAAAGCAACCTATTTTGCTTTGTTTTAGCAGTGCTGGAGATGGGCCCAGGACCTCATGCATGCTAGGCAAGTGCTCTACCACTAGACTATACTCCCAGCTTCAGCCCCAGCCCAGCCTATTTTTAAAGAAGAAAATAGTAGGCAGGAGACCCAGGCCTCCTCTGTCTGCCTGACCTCACTAGGCTTAAAAGGAAGGTGACAGTAAAGCACCCTGCCATTGGAGAGTCTGAAAGTGCAGAATTTCAGAATGCTTGGGGGCAGATTGCCTCCACAGGTCTGAGCATGTTTATAAGTATTGATTCGAGAAGCTCTTCCCTAGAAACGATAAGGCAAGGTCAGAAGATGAAAAAAGATCCTGTCTGTGAATAAAATAAACTACTTAAATGAATTTCAAATGCCAATAATAATAATAATAATTTTAAAGGCCAGAGGAAGTGAAGCATGTAGGGAGGATGTAAGAAGCCCTGCTTTTTGAAGCTTGTTCCAAACAGAGGTCACTCAGGGAAACTTGGGGTGTAGTACAACAGGGTTTAAAAATACATTACAAGGGTAAGGGTGATGAAATTATCTTCTCATTCGCAGAACAGTCCTAGGGGAGACCAAACTCCACTGGCAACAGTGGCTGGGTATTGCAGCAAGCATTCTTGAATTCCTCTGAGTTCACCTAGAGCGACCCCAGGGAAGTGGAGGGACACATTCACAAATTTTAATTTTATTCTTTTTCCCTCCAGTGCTAAATAGCTGTATGCTCATCTGGGCTCATTCAGATAAGCAATTTAGTCCTGACCTCTAGACTTATACCCTTTGGGGGAATAATTGGGCAGTAACCCATTGTGTAAAATATTAATATGTAAGAGATTCCAACAGCATCAATGGGATCCACAAGGCACTCCACAAAGTTTCACTGGTTTTTCCTCAATGGCTGGGGGTAATGTTCTTCATGGCTCTTTCTCTCTTTTTCTATAATCAGATGCCATTTCTCTTCATTCTTTATTTCTGGGTTGGCCAGAAAGGCTGTGAGTTATTTTCAAAAAGATTCATAGCTTCTTTCATGCTGTAGAAAACGCCAGGCAAAGACTAGGAAGAAAGACATTCATTTGTTGATTTGTTCAACAAACATCTTTGCAAGCACACCACCAGGTTGGGGAGGACATCCAACCCTCTTCCTGAGACCAAGTTTCCTTTCTTTTGAGTGCCACCAATGCCCTCTTAAATTCTGTGGCCCTTGGGTCAATTCCATGACTTGACCATTCTCTGCTTCCTTTGCAGGGGCCTTGGCCTCCATCCTGAGTGCTGACCTCAAAGAGTCCCTTGGTGTGGAGGAGACAGACCAGACTCCCCTGCCCTTTTCCCTTGGCTCCAAACCCAGAGACTTCAGGAAACTCCATGACTGTGCCAGCGCTCTCAGCAAGCTTTCGTATCACTGGATCCTCGAAGTCAAAGGTGGATCCCACTGAACTATTTCATGTGGATCTTTCAAGTGGGGCTATGTCATCTCATCCTAAAACTTCTCAAACCTCCAGCTTCCAAAAAAGAGAAAGTCACCAACAACCAGAAACAAACCTGCTGTCTCTGATTTACTCTGGTGTCTGCTCACTTTCAGGGAGGGGGCAGAGGGAAGTTGGCTTCCGAACCCCAAGCTGGTTACCCTCATTTATAAACCCAAGCAGGATTCCCAGAGGGCAGCAAAACAATTGTGGAATTGTGGAATTTTCTCTGTATCAATTTTGTTAGTTCACCTCATGTCATGATTTATGGTTTACTCAAAAATTTCATCATCATTGAAATTGGCTTTCCCAGGGGTCTTTAGCCCAGGAGTTTTCTCTCAGTTGTGAAGTCTTTTGCCATCTTATACCTAAGGTCCACTCACTGAGGTGATTTTTCTGACCACTCAGAGGACTCCCAAGTCATAATTCTGATCCTATCCCAGAACACTCAGAAGTCTCTAGAAATTCAAGGTCCTATCCTGTGAGACGGACGTCCTATCTTGTAAGACAAGAAGAAACCCCAGGGTTAGTCCCACATCCTTACAAAAGGCAAGTGCCAGTGTCTGGTGCCACAGTGAGGTAGATGGACACTCTAAAAAGTCCAGATGCCTCCAAAGCTTCACCTTCATTTTCCCTCCTGGCTATTACTCAAAGAGGGCCAAGACAGGCCTTGGAAATGCTTCTTGTCATGCAGATTGCAAGCAAGAGATTTATTTGATCCATATTTTTTTTTTTACCCATTTGGACCTGTTAAAAAAGATAATAAAGGGAAGAGAAAGAAAATAAGGAAGRAGAGAAGGAAAGGAAGAAAATAAAAAATCCTGTCTTCTGTCTGGGCTTGTCCTGCTCCCTTGCTGGGCATCTCTGGGTGAATCCTGCCATGTAGCAACAGGGAAATCAATCCATAGGGAAGACAGCCTTCTTCCTGTGTCCCGCCCCTGGGAGCAGTCTCAGAGCTAGAAGTTTACCCCTCTACCTCCAAGAGAAATCTAAGAAACTCATCAGAGACCATCACACACTGCACAGTTCTTGCTCTTGTGAGACCATTTCATAGTGCACAATGCCCCTTGGTTTGGAGTGGAAAAGCAGTAGGCAATATGCAGCCATGATTGGCCCTGGATATGAAAAGGTGTGTACACACCTTCCCACCTTCCTGCATGCTGCCTTCTGCTCTTCACACACACTCGTATGTTATACTTTCCCTGAGGAACCAATTTTTTCATGAGCCATTGAGTTGATTTGGCTGATACCTAACAGAGGCAGACCCAGGTGTCAGACTCACTCTTGGGACAAGTGAGAAAGACTAAGAACATCCTTCCCATCAGAAAAGTGGAACTTCCAGTGTTAGGAAGAGTCTGTCTACTTTATGTAGGATTGCAGGCAGAGATTGAGTCCCAGGACCATTGGACAGAGCTGTTTGAATGTAAGAGAATGGGGGACATTCCTAAGTAGAAGTAAGCTTTAATCACTTTGGGATGTTTTCTTTTGGGGTGTGAGCAGTGCTGGGGACTAAACCCCAATGCCTTGAACCTCCTAGACAAGAGCTCTACCACTGAACTACATCTCCAGCACTTTGGGGCTATTTTCTAATGGCCCAGTGCATTCACTTCTTTGGGGATTAGTGACAAAAGAAATCATGATGTTTCCTATCCTGCTAGCAAATGCCTATTCTCACCCACTCCCCCTCCCATCCTTTCCTTTTCTTTAAGTGATTTGGGCTTCCTGGTCAGCAGAGTTTGGCCAGTGTTGCTCAGGCTTTTGACTGTGATTGATACACTTGGTTTCATGTTTACAAAGTACCCAGACTTTTTTCCTATAGAGAAGCACATCACCTGTTCCTGGGGTCCTGAGTCCCCCATAGCACTCTGGAAGCAAATAACTTCCCACAGAATATTTTATCTCCAGGCTCTAGAAATTTCTGTTGCAGAATTCCTGGCTGAAGTAGAAGAATTTGGAAGGTTTTTTTTTGTTTGTTTGTTTGTTTGTTTTTAATGGTGTTGGGGACAGAACCAGGGACCCTGTGCATGCTAGGCAAGCATCTGCCACTAGGGAACATCCTGGAAGTCATATTTAACTCCCCTGGACCTCTGCTCCATGATTCATTTTGCCTCCATGATCCAGAGCTTCTGACCTTGGAGTGGGAAATTCAATTGTAGGTAGCAAATAACTCGACCTTCATGTAATCCCTAATGATTTTAACAACCCTGTGACCCCAGATGACAGCCAGCAGTTTTGTGACTAGAGTTTTTGTTTTGTTTTGTTTTTTCTTTTAGTCCACTGTTCTCAGTAACAGCTTTGGTTTGGAGATGCAGTGGGGAAGCAGGGACTCTGGCAACTATGTTTGCTTGCAATCACATGAACTTGGTCGTTTTTGTTATTTGGGGTGGAAAATTGAAATGAGGAATTTTTTTTTCAGTTAGAAAAGTAAATATTGTGTTTTTGTAATAAATGCCTCTTAGCAAAATTGCTGAGGGTCACTCATCCAGTAGAGACCCTCCTGAGTCACAGCGCTGACTCATCACATTAGTATTAGTAGTTCAGCCATCTGTAAACACAAGTGTTCCTAATTGGCCCAGAATGTGATAAGATTTGCTGGCCTCACACGGGGCCTGGGCAATTCCCTCATTTCTCCGCATGACAATTTCCGGATTTCCATCTAGAGTTAACTGATTTTTATCATATCATTGACCACGATTTTATACTTAAAAATAGTAGTTCCACAAAATAACTTTTTAAAAGTAGTTAATCCTTGAGCAGACACAAGGAAAGAAACTTAGCCCGGGTAAGTGACTGTCACAGTGTCTTCAGCTGCCACACTTGCAGCTTTTAAGAGCCATGGGGTGGAGGGGACCCTTGACTTTGTGATGTGGGTTGATTAATCAGGACCCTTAGCCTTACAAACGAGATCATGGAAGATTCAGAGAGCCATGCAAATCCAGTCTTCCTGAGCTTTCTCAGGTGTCACCACCGGGGTGTAACTGACCTGTTATCCTTGCATCAAGTGGAGATTTGGTGAATCCTTTAAAATTTACTGTGATATCTTACATGTAGCTGTGTTAGTTTTTATCTACAGAAGGCAGATGTCCACATCCGAAGGGAAATTCAACGAGAAACAACCATCGTTGTAGTTGCACTCAATATCTCTGTATGACATACACATTAAGTGAATGTTTTCTTATATTTTTAGGTCTACAATGTGTAAATAGGGAGAAAATTTGATAAATATGGTAAATTAAGTTATAGCTGTCATTTGATCCTTATTTTGCTGTCTCTTTTTATTTAATTTTCCTGATGCTGCACATCTAGGTTCATTCTTAGGTGATAAAAACCTTCACATCTAGCCCACTTTCCCAGGTGTGTGTGTGTGTGTGTGTGTGTGTGTGTGTGTATGTGTGTGTGTGTGTGCACGCGTGCACATGCATGTATGCACACACCAGGACACACTTTACAGAGGCAGTCATGCCCAGGAAAGCACACAGCTCCACTGATGACGTCTCTTGACTCTCTACCCTCTTCCCCTTGAATTCTGATTTACTGTGATAATTTAATAAAGTGGAGAAACAGCACTGAGGTGCTATATGTTTGGGTCATTCTATGGTTTGTAGGAAAATAAAGTTTATCCTGGCATCTAATAAAAAGGTGGTTTGCATTTGTATTGGACAAGGTTGTTCAAAAACATTTTTTTAACCAGCCCAGGCAAGTTTATTCATGTGTAGTAAAACTGACCTTGAGGTTTATAATGTAGAATGCTAAGATCCAGTCACCAGAGGATCTATGTCCAAGTATTATTCCCATCTATACAGCCGGACTGTCCCTCTCTTTGTGGTGAAATGACTGGGTCAGTATTGCCTGCTATTGCAGTTGGTATCAAAGCCCAAAGTAAGCTTCATCCTTGCTGACTCTCTAGAGCAGAACTTGTACTAGCCCCACCCTTCTGGTCCTTCCAGATGGGTTGTCTTTGTAAGTGATAGACAAAATGTAATATGGCCTTCTGCTGGTGTGGCAAAGGTTGATAGCCCTGCCTCAGGACTCCAACTGCCTCCTTGCCTACATCTGCGACCACTCTGGGCTCTGAAAAGCAGTGAACTCTCAGGATGTTAAGACAACCAAGTTTGTAAGATACCCCCATTTTACTTGTCCATTTTTCAAATCCTTATTGAGGACTTATTATTTGCGAAACATGTCAGTGATCTTTAAAAGGGTCATCCAGGTAAGTTCCCAGGAGTTAAGTGGGTTCTGAATCAATTTGGCTTCCTTTTAGCTCTTGTCTGATACCAAGAGCTTGCTTACCGATATGTCCTGCTTTTAATCCTTGGTTCCTCATAGAATGAAGCTTGATATGAAGCTTTAGAGTGCTCTGTCCTAAAAATAGTGGTTCCCAGCCTCATGAATTAGCTTCATTTAGGAAGCTTCCTAAGATTCAGATTCCTGCTTCATCATTCCCCACCTAGATTCTTACCTTCAATGTCTGTGGTGGAACCTCAGCTTCTGTGTTTCTTAAAGCTTCTCAGAGGATGCTGGCTGCAGATACAGTTGAGTTCAGGAGCTTGAGTCAGTTCCATTGATTGGTGTTCTGGGAAGCAAGTACCCCTGTAGCTCTATAACCACTTCATGGAGCTATGTTTCTGCTCCTCACTCACAATTCAGTTTAAAATATGATTGTCCAGGATTCCCTGCAAGTTTCATCCTAGGATAATTTTGGCATACTTTTCAGATCTAAAAATGGTCATTTGAAATTCAAAGGATATTTTATGAAAGTCTCACTCAAAAGGTTACTTTATTATTTATAGTGAAAAAATGGGGCAGGGAACATTCCAGTCCAGCATGCTTCCTGTAAGTGACCAGGCCATCCTAAAAAACACTTGTCAAGGGCTGGGGATGTTGTTCAGTGGTTAAGCACCCTGGGTTAAATCCCCAGTATCAAAAAAGAAAAAAGAAACTTGCCAAGTCTCAGGCTACATCATTTAACACCATCATCAAAATTCCAAAGCAAATCCCACTTTTAGTGGTCTCAAAAGGGACCATTGCTTCAAGCATTGCTGACATAAATTTTATTTGGTTTTTGTCAGGTTCCAGAATTTAAAGAAAGAATATTCCTAAGGTATATCCTGGTCTTAATATAATTTTCTAGGGATCCCAGGAAAAATTTTGGAGTTATTTGAAAAATCTCCCATCAAAAAGATGCAGACATTTATATTTGTTCACTTCTATACACACTTGTGCTAGTGTTATGATGTTATATAGGTGTATAAACTAAATTGAGGCCACTTTGATTTATTAAACCATTCATGTCAAGGAGCACTATTATCATTTACTTTCCCTTCTATAAATGGGCATGGTTTTAATTGCATTTCATTTTTTAAACCAAAAAATGAAAGTTGTAGAAATGAAACATAAAGTAAACTTCATCCCTTTGTATTTAATTTACTCAAGGCACAGGTTTACAGCTGGAAGGGGCATCCTCCATAACTTACCCACTTCCTTCCATAGCTATAAGAACTGAGGCCTGAAGATATTGGCTTACTGGGTTTCACACAGCTAAAAAAGTGGAACTTGAGACAGGAGCTGAGTCTCCTGGTTTCTGCTTCATGATGACACCTTCATTTAGCAGCTTAAACAGAGTTCTTAACCAGTGCATGGACTATTTGTTGAAAATGTAATTTCTGCCAGGCACAATGGCACACCTGGAATCCTGGTGGCTCAGGAAGCTAACGCAGGAGGATCACAAATTCAAGGCCAGTTTCAGTAACTTAATGAGACCGTATCTCAAAATTTTAAAAGGGGCTGGAGATATGGCTCAGTGGTAGAGCACCCCTGAATTCCATCCCGAGTACCAATAAAGAAAACAGAAAAGAAAATGTAATTTCCATGTACCTTTTGGCCACTGTGAAGGTATCTCTATAGTCAAATCCAAGGCCACTTTAACCCTACTATATATGGACCAAGCACAAAACAGACTAGGTTGATCACCAGTGCAAGGAACTGGCTCTACCAGGAGACTGTCACCCACTCTCCTTCTAGTCCAAAATGAAAACACTTGGAATTAATCTCACTCTGGGACTCCAAGAAACCACTAGATAGAACATTTTTCAAAAAAAAAAAATTGCTGATATCTTTACTGAAAAATACTTTTGAAGCGAAGAACCTGCCACATAGGCAGACTTCCCACACCTCCTGGTGTGAGGCCTGGGCAGGTCAGCCACATTCTGGAAAGTCATTCTCACTCTGTGCATTCAGAGAGTCACATGCTTTTTGAGCACTCATTACAGACAGCTTGATTAAAATTGTATATTGCCTCTTGAAAAAAATGTTATGGGTCTGGAGTTTCAGAGAAAGAAGGTGAAGACAGATTGGTTCTCTTAAATACCACAAGAAGCATCTTTGAGTGAATACAAAAACTCTTGCTTCCAAAACCAATGTCTTCATGGTCCACCCTCAACCTCAGAGAGCATGAGGAGACCAGCTGACTGCCCAGGAGGCAGGGGCCTTTCAAACCTTAGGCACGTTCTCTCTGCCCCAAAGTTGCTCTCAAATGTGAAACAGTGGCATCAAAACCAGAAGAACTCTCTGAAATCCTTCTGAAGAGGAAAAGAAGAATTTGCTTGGAGATTGCTTCTTTGTTATTGTTATTTTTAGAATTTTAAATTAAAGACATTTTTAATACCTAAGTGTCTCCTAACCTGAGTTGCCTATCACATTAAGAAATATTTGTCTTAGAACTTGTCCAGCATGTGCAAAGCCCTGGGTTGATCCTTAGCACTGTAAGCAGAAACAAAAATCAGATGTCTGGGAAAATTCTGCCTTTTATAGAATCAAAGAGAAACTGGGAAGTCCAAGTTAGTGTCTTCCCTTCTGCACCATTTCAGACATGAAAATCACTGATCAGATAGACTTTTTATATTCACATCAAGAAATGCTGCCTTAGACATCAGAATACATTATGTATGTGATTGGAGACTCTATTTAAAGCATTATTTTAAGAAAGAATAAATGTAGGGGCTGGGGATGTGGCTCAAGTGGTAGCGTGCTCTCCTGGCATGCGTGCGGCCCGGGTTCGATGCTCAGCACCACATACAAACAAAGATGTTGGGTCTGCCGAAAACTAAAAAATAAATATTGGATTCTCTCTCTCAAAAAAAAAATTTTTTTTTTAAAGAATAAATGTATAAATCCTCTCAAGAACAAAAGCACACCGTCCTATGTATCCAAGTGTAATTTTTAGCCTTACATTTATGTGATACCCCTTTCCAAAAATGCTTGCTGAGTCTGACATAGAATATTTTATATGAATAGGTCCAACTCCTCAGCTTTCTCCTTGTCGTGGGGTTCCAGGGGTCTGAAAATTGGAGTGTGCTTTTCACTGAGGGTGTGAAGTGGGAAGGGCTTGCTATTATAGATCCTGAAAGGATCTTTTTGACTTCAGAAAATAGCCCAGCCAAGAAAAGCTTTTTTCCATGAATACTCACAGACTGCATTATGCTCCTAGGATGATAGAGGTGAGTACTTTTGATCAATATTCCCTAAGAAACGGCCACTGGGCTAAGTGCAAGCGGGGGCCTCAATAACACATCTCCCTTGCTCAGAATCTGCAGAGAATCTGCAGCAAACCTCTCACCAGTAGTTAGAACCGGTGAAAGCTGCACATTCATGACATCCTCGTCACCCCATTTTGTCCTCCATGCAGATGGCTGATAATGGGCCCTCCCTGGGGGAAATTTTGGCATCTTCATTTCAGGCACTGGAAGAACGAACCTCTGGAACTGTTGACCCAATGAGGAGAACAGAATGCCAGTAAGAAAACTCCAATACAAGAGTCTCTTTTAATCAAGGAAGATTTATTAACTAATCATTGAGAGTTTAATGAAATAGACAAAGTATAGATTTGTATGATAGGTCAGAAGTCTATACTTTTTTCCTCCAAATATATAATGATTTGCCTCCATTCCAAATCCCCACTTCCTGAGATCGACAAGCACATCATTCAAGAGAATATTCTCTCCAGGAGAAAGCCTTTTCTCCAGATTCATACACACACCCATAGATACAGGGATTGCTTTTGCACAGAAACAGTCTCATACAATACCCATTATTTTACAATGTGCTTTTTAAATATATCAAGGGCACCAGTTTCTCTAATTATCATGTTTAGTAGTTGCATATTTTATTCCTTATTGTTATAATTTAGAGATGAGGTGTCCCCCCAAAAGCTCATGTGAGAGACAATGCAAGAAAGTTTAGAGGTAAAATGATCAGTTCATTAGAGCCTTAACCTAATCAGTGCATTAATCCACTTGCCTGGATTACCTGGGTGAGAACTATAGACTGGTAGGGTGTGGCCAAAGGAGCCAGAGTCACTGGGGACATGCCTTTGGGTTAGATATTCTGCCTCTAGTGAGCTGAGCTTAGTCTTTCTCTGCTTTCTGATTGTCATGTTCTGAGCTACTTCCCTCTATCACGCCCTCCACCATGATGTTCTGACTCACCTCCAGCACAGAGCAACAGAGTTCGCTCTCTACAGACTGAGACCTCTGAAACCATGAGCACCGAATAAACTTTTCTTCCTCTAAAATTGTTCTTGAAAAAAATAAAAAATAATTGTTCTTGACAGGTTTTTTGGTC